CTTCCCCTACTTTCCCTCTGAAGGTTAAGCATCTGATAGATCCATTTTTGGGTCTGGATCTGTTTTTATTCATCAGTTTATGTTATTCATTATATTACACAAATGAGTGAGATCATGTGATATTTATCTTTCTTGACTGGCTTATTTCGCTTAGCATAATGCTCTCCAGGTCCAACCATGCTGTTGCAAATGGTAAGAGTTCCTTCCTTTTTACAGCAGCATAGTATTCCATTGTGTAGATGTACCACAGTATTTTTAATCCACTCATCTGCTGATGGGCACTTAGGCTGTTTCCAAATCTCAGCTATTGTAAATTGTGCTGCTGTGAACATAGGGGTGCATATATCCTTTCTGATTGGTGTTTCTGGTTTCTTGGGATATAGTCCTAGCAGTGGGATCGCTGGGTCAAATGGGAGTTCCATTTTAGTTTTAGAATTTTTTTTAACAAGATATTTCTTTTTCTCAATAGAAGGGTAATGCATAGTACTATGTGTGGATCCAGGGTGCTAGCCGGGCCCTTGACCAGCCCTTGCAGAGAAGGGAGAGCCTTGGGCGACGGGGCGAGGGGCATGGTCTCTTGCAGGAAGCGCTCTTCAGAAAGTAAGAGAGCCTGGTAGCCTGGCCCTAAGCAGAGGAACATTCAAAAGGAAGAAAACGGTAATAGTCCTGCGCTTACAGAAAAGCATAACGAAAAACAAAACCACCCAGAGAGATCCTTGCTGTTAACATGTCACCTTTGTGTAGGCTTTTGTTACTCTACAATTTAACGCAAAACTGTGATCGTTTTTTTAATCGTTTTTTCACCTACCCTGACACTGTGAATATTCATTAATATTCGTTGAAAACGTGGTTCTGATGGCTGCATAATATCCCTTTGTATAATGTGCCTTCACTTTTGAAAGCACTCCCCCATTGTTGGTTATTTAAATTGAGCCCAACTTTTTACTGTTGTCAACAATAACACTTCAGTTGGCATCCTCATACACGCATAACTATTTCCTTGGGAAATATTTCCGGGATATTACCATTCACATGGATTGCCCGTATAATTCAAAAGGCATACGTGTGTTTAAGGCACATTGCCTCAATAGGGCTGGTGGGACTTTGGAATGTGTCGGGAGGGGTGGGCATGCCGGGAAGAGGGGGCAGTCTGAGCAAAGGCTAGGAGAAAAGATGGCATGGCTGTGTGGTAGGGACAGCAAATACAGGTGTATGTGCATGCATATGCGTGTGTGTGCACACCTGTGTACGCAGGTGTGCAGCATAGAGGTGTGTTTAGGTAAGGTCTGGGCTGACTGGCTGGCTGAGGTCTGGACTCAGTCCTGCAGGCAGTGGGGTTTGAGAAGGTCTCCAGAGAGGTGGATGGTCACACAGTCCCTCAGAGCTGGGTGAGGCTTCGGCTGCTGGACTCAATGCCCAGCTGACCCCTGACCATCTGTGCCAAGTGTCCCCAGCCTGCCTGTGCGGGCTGGGACTCATGGTGGCCACATGGGAGGCTCCTGGGCACCAGCAGGGGTGGAGTAGGGGGGCCATGGCTTACCTCTTGGGGGTTTCCTTGGCTACATGTTGGGCAAACTATGGGCTCTTTGGCAAGAGATTGTGCCACTCTGGACACTGGGTTCCCCCACAGCCCGTGGAAGCCACCGATGACGCCTTTTGGGACCAGTTCTGGGCGGACACGGCCACCTCGGTGCAGGATGTCTTTGCGCTGGTGCCGGCGGCGGAGATCCGGGCCGTGCGGGAGGAGTCGCCCTCCAACCTGGCCACTCTGTGCTACAAGGTGAGGGCACCTGGCTGGGCCATTCACCACCCGCCTGGGGACACTACGCTGGCCCAGCCCTGTGGTCCGAGAGGTCTGCGGGCTCTGGGTGCTGGGGAAGTGACCATGGGGGGGTGACCGGGCCAGAACGTGCTGAGCACTTCCCATGGGTCAGCTCAGTTAGCTCGCCCTGTGCGGCTGCCACTGTTCGTGTCGCCATTTTACAGATAAGTAAACTGAGTCTCAGGTGGGGGGTCGCTTAACAAGATCTCAGCCGATGAGTGGTGGGCTGGCCCACGTCCCGTCCGCCTGGGCTGGCCGACCCTGTCTGGAGGGTGGCCCTGTGGGGTCGGGCCTCCCCCTCTGAGCCTGGGGTGCCCATCCGAGCCACGTGCAGGGCCCCACTCCCACCCTCCCAGCGTGCCCCTCTGCCGCCCCACAGGCTGTGGAGAAGCTGGTGCAGGGAGCCGAGAGCGGCTGCCATTCGGAGAAGGAGAAGCAGATTGTCCTGAACTGCAGCCGGCTTCTCACGCGCGTGCTGCCCTACATCTTTGAGGACCCGGACTGGAGGGGCTTCTTCTGGTCCACGGTGCCCGGGGCAGGGCGAGGAGAGGTCTGTGCCAGGCAGGGCCTGGTCGGGCGGGGCTGGGTGGGCAGTGGAGCTGTGACAGGGCGGGAACCTGGTCCAGGGCAAGAACCAGGGCCGGCCACCCTCCTCCAGGCCTCTCTGGGCTTGAGGGAGTGTGGGGCGGGGAGAGTGGGGCTCGATTCCTTTTCCCTGGGCCCTAGTGCCTCTCCCACATGCTCTCTGCTCGATACTGTCTGGTATCACATGGCCCAGCGTAGCTAAGCTCTCTACTTCCATAGTCAGTATCTCACAGGTAGAGGATTTA